CCCCAAAACCCCAAAACCCCAAAACCCCAAAACCCCTTGTGTGAATTTGTAAATTGAAATCCTTATTATCATTGGAAAAGAGTTACCAAAATCATCCCTTTGTAAATTCATTCTTGATCAAAACCAGCAGAAAGATTGTAAAAAATAAGGAAGGATTTATAGCAACTAGATATTTCCTTAGCCAAATATCCAAAGAACCGAATCTTGTTTATTTCTACTGTCATCTATTGCCTATCAGATATTATCTGATAAACTATCAAGAAGAGTAAGTTTATAATTTGTTAAAGTATTATTTTAACACATTATTGACCTATTCAATTCTCTCCTCATAAAAGAAGCCATTAATCTAATTCCAAATCCCCAAACATCTTTCCTCTCTTCTACAATTTTCCCTCTCTACAATGTTTCATTTCTCTGCTTCTCAATATTCCTGAAAAAGCTGTCTACTTCTATTTTCTTATAAATCCCTCTAGTCTTAACAATTTCTTCTATTAACTTTTCTCTATTTCTGTGGTCTATACTCCATAAGTCCAGAACAGAGCCTGCACAAATTCCAAACTCAGTCAAGCTTACATATAGAGCCAGTCTAGCTTCTCTCTTTTCTGTAATATCTGCTGATCATTGACTATGGGTCTCTTCTTGATCTGGTTTTCGAGGAGGGCCAGGCTGGTTTTATGGTCAAGGGACTCTTTTTGGTCTATGGGATTGTGAGGTTTTGGGGCAAAGTGGGGAAAGAAGGATTTTTAGGGGAAGGGAGGTGGAAGAGGAGTTTGGGGGAAGGGGTTACTGGGTTTTTTGTGAAGGATTTTGTGAGGGAGATGGGGTTTTTGGGCTGGTGGGGATTTTGGGGCGGATGGGTTTGGCTGGAGAGTGGTGGATTCGAGGAGGTTGTAGAGAATAGAGGGATATTCGAACCTGAATTTAATATTTTTGAATTCCCAGAAAGTAAGGAAATCTGCAGGCTGCTTTGAGAGGACATAGCTTTCAAAACTCTGTCTCAGAGCTGGATTTAGAGTCTCAGAGTTGGTATGTTTAGAAGACTTAGACTTTGTGTACAGTGTGTTATGTCCTTGAGCAGAATAGGCAGTGTTAGGTGTATGTCTCCAAATTTTTAGTAAAGCCACTAGATGTATCAAGCAACATGGCTACCTGCTCTTTTTGAGATGAAGTGTCCCATGCTCTTTCTCATACTTTTTTATTCAAAAAGAGAAGAAATTTGAGGCTTTTGAGGTCCGAGTTTCGCTCTTTTGTGCTGGCTTTTTCTTCATCATAGGAGACTCTTCATTGTACCGATTTATGGTTTTGTTCAAGAATGCACTCTTATTCTCTGTGAAACGGGATTTAAGATTGTGCATCCTCGATCTTCTTCTGGAATTGCCTAATTTGTTTCGTAGCTTGGGCTCTTCTTCTTGATCACTTTTTAGAGCAGTGTAAGGAAGTTCTCTAGCTGAAAGAGATATTAGAGACTTGATAATCAAATATGCACCACTTACGTGAATCCTGAAGTAGACTGTGATTGAGTATTATCAAGACTGTGCTCACTAGCCTTTCTGAATTTCTTTGGCATTGTGTTTGCTTGCCCTATCAGAGCCCCATAATTACGAGATTGTTTTGTGTCCATGAAGCTTTGTGTAGTTGTCTTTTTATTCCAAATAGCTTTAAGAATCTTGCTATAGTCTTCGTAAAGAATGGAGTCTGTATCATTCAATGATTTCATTCCATGGAGAATGTCAGGAATAGATAGCTTGCCATCAGCATCGTGGTCTAAGATTTTAAAGCAAAATTTGAGCTTTTCTTCTTTTTCCATTAAAGGAATTGATGCTGCTAAAGTTCTAGAGAGATCAGGCAAGGGTACTTTTTAGGGTGACTAATGTCTTCGGGTCGGTTTGGTCTAAAAAAGTCAAAGTAATGCTTACTGCTTTGCTTTACCATGATGTTCTGATGATCGATGCTTTGATTGAGACCGCTGGTATTTTAGAACTAGACTCGGTGTTTGGGACAAATTCTGACCTATTTTCAAAGTTAAATTCTTTTTGTTGTTGTAATGTTTGGATCTGGATAGAATTTTGAAATATTTGCAAAAATAAAGAAAATTTAATCAAATCGAATGAAAAATGACGCATTTTTCGATAAAATTTTCATAAAAAATTGGCGTGATGAAAATTTGTTGTAACAAATAATTATACTATGAAAATTCAGATATAGGAGTTGAAAGAAAGCATTGCACAGCTTTTTACTTAGATTTCTCTTCTCACTAGTCTTGAAGAGCCATATATAAAATATTTTGATGTTTACGCTATATTTGGTTAGCAAGAATGTCAAATATTTTTGTAGATCAGACCAACTTACCTTTATAAGGTTGTCTTCCAGGAAATTTAACAGTTTTATGCGGCATATCTTTCCCAAAAACTTTGCTTCTCTTACCTCCCAAAACAGTTCTGGGAGGATGAACAGATAACTTTGGGACATATTTAGTTGTATACGGGGAGGAATCACCTTGAGAGCTAATTTGAGGATTTGTTCCTAAAGAGCTAGAGAAGTTGGTACCAAACTCAAATTGAAGTCAGGCCTATACATTACCTTTTCTGTCCTAAACATCATTACATAGGGCCAAGGCTAACTTACCTGGAGTTTTCTTTGAGAAATCGGTTACTTTCTTTATAAGTTATTTCTTGCTCAAAGAGCAACCACTTGGTCCCATTCTACGAGGACAACTGTAGCTCTTCCAGACTTGAAATCTCCAAAGCCCCACAACCCCCAAACACCACTCCCAATCTCTCAAACTCCCTACCATCTGCCTTCATCTGACCCATACCCCTTCAACCCCTTCCGTCCTCCACACCCCAAATCTCTTCTAGCTTCCTTAACAGCCACCTTCCTCAAGCCGAATGACCATATTCCTTCCATAACAAGTTACTTATAAATTCCTTTATAATCTTCTGCGAAGTCTTTGGCAAAGTAGTGACTCTTTGCAACTTCATTGAATTATTCTTGCCCAGTGCAAGTGACCTAATTGGGTTAGGGCATGGAGGGTTACGGGTTTTTGTTCTTCATATATTTTCAAAATAAAATTAAGAATTTGGGGTTTTGGGGTTTTGGGGTTTTGGGGTTTTGGGGTTTTGGGGTTTTGGGG